GACGGTCCAGAAGATGCATCAGCCGGTGCAAGTGCAAAGACACGTCCCTGCGGTGCCTATGCTTGAGAACTGCCACCCTGAAAACCAGACTGCTGCACCGACCTAGTAGGAGCATCCCTCCTAACAGGTCGTGAGCCCTGAGAAGACATAGCAGGCTGAGGTGGTGGCGGTGGTCTAAAACCTAACTGAACTGTGGCCGACTGAGACGGCCTCTGCCGTGACCCTTTGCCACTACCGGTGCCTGCTCCCTGACTCAGACAATCTCGAATCAAGTGACCCTGCTAGCCACAGCTATAACGAGCCCTTAGAGCTGGAGAAACTGCAGACGATCTCATAGGGCAACTGGACTTGTAATGCCCTAGCGGCTGACACTGAAAACATACGACTCCACTCTTATCAGATCCAGCTGGTACAGGAGTGGTAGGAGCAAATCGTGCAAACTGTTGCTCCTGAAACTGAAACAGACCACCTTTATTCCTCTTCCAAGAAGATCCCTCTGAAGATGGCCCTACACCTCTCTTTTGATTCAGTTGCTCTCTTCTTGCATCCTTCTCTCTATTGTCAGCCTCCAACACCAAAGCCCTTTCCACTACTTTAGAATAAACCTTAATGAACTGTGATTTGATCAACGGTCTCATTCGATCATTAAAACCGAAAACAAACTTCCGAGTCTTGTTAGCTTCATCTCTCACCATTTCTGGAGCAAAACGGGAGAGTGAGGTGAACTTGTTCTCATATTCCGCCACTAACATGTTCCCTTGAATAAGATTATGAAACTGGTCTTGTAACTCCCATCTTTTTGAAATTGGAAAATACTTTTCATAGAACAATTCCTTGAACTTGTCCCAACTCATTTCCTCTACCTTGTACCGGCTCGTAACCGACTTCCACCATAGTTTGGCATCCTTAGCAAACTTATAAGTTGCTAGGATGATCTTCAGGTGATCCTCCGTCACTTCCATTAAGATCAACTGAGTTTCAACTTGATCCATGTAGTCGTCTGCTACCATTGGATCCGCACCGCCCTCAAACATAACCGGCATCAACTGAGAAAATCCCTTAATGATCTTGAGACGCTTCTGAGCTGGCGTCTCCTCAACTTGAACTGTAGGTTGTGGTGCCGATTGCGACTGAGCAGCAATCGTTGCCCTTATATCACTTTGCAACAGACGATTCAACTCCAGTGCCACAGAACCTTCACCCACTTCTACGGGTGCTTCAACATTGTCTCTCCTTGTGGGAACACCTCTCGGGGGAATCAAGTCCCTAAGAAGCGTGTCCTCATCATTTAGCTCCTCCGGATTGGAGCCGGAGCTCTCGCTAATATCACCTCTAGTCGGCCTAGGGCCAACTTCCCTTAACTTTTCACGTCATGACATCGTGCTATAAAACGAGAGAACGGTTCAAAAACAAGACGCTAAAGTCCACCGTGGATGACTCAACAGGAAATGATAACGTACCAACATTTAACATGCACAACTATGCAAGAAACATTTAACGTAAACATTTAGGCACATAAGCATATAGACAATTAAACATATTTGTTCAAGTAAATAAACACGTAGCAAGTAATCACGTAAACAATGCAAACAACACCCCACGCAACTCTATGTAGGCCTTTACCTGTCGTCCCAAAGGTTTTCGAAGCCACGCTCTGATACCATTTTGTAACGACCCAGCTCCTCATGGATCCGGATCATTAAACGGGTCCTAACCTGACCCAAAAACATCCGAGGGCAAAATGGTCATTTCACATTAAAATTAAATAACAAGGTCCAAAAAGGATAAAATGGTAATTTGCCATAATTCAATAAATTGAGTCTTAAAGGGTAAAATAGTCATTTGCTTGCATTGCATAATAAACAAAATAAGGTTCGGGGCAATATAGTCCTTTTGGTGGTTAAAATGTAATTATTGCATTTTATTGGGTCATAAAATAATTACGTGAAACCTCCCTTAGGTGCCAAAGTGCAATTTGGGAAACTAAACACATATTACTTAAGAGACAGAAACCGGTCGACATATCGACTGCTTTGGGTATGAACGGTAGGAAAACCCACTGCCAAGATACCGGTCGATGTATGGGAAGCCATACGTCGACTAGTTTAGGACGTGATACCGGTCGATGTATAGGATGCCATACGTCGACTGGTTTGGAACGTATGCAATATTAATCCACACTGAGAGGATACCGGTCGACGTATGGGAAGCTATACGTCGACCGGTTCTGGGAAACTTTCAATTCCACTTGCCACTGTCCAATGAGAACTCACATACACCAACATTTGGTTGTTCAACCACCCACGCCACTACACTTATGTGTAATTTTAATACATTTCAACAATAAATTCAATAACAACAACCACGTTATTAACATAATTTACCACACGTCACTAAAATACACAAGAGGATTAGGTGTAATTAAAAGTTAATTACATTTTCTCAATGGCCATGAATACAAACTTATTTACATTCCTAAAACTACAATTACACAAGAAATGGCCAAATACAAAATAGCAAAAATAATCTTCTAACGTCTTTCAAGCTTGCGGAGGATTTTCATCCGCCATTTTCTTACCATGACCTGAAAAAAATATAAGTATGGTGGGGTAAGCAATTTGCTCAGTAGGTGACGCCTATGACGCACCTTATGAGACCCCGTGAATCCAAAACAAGGAATAGGCCAATAGGAGTTGGGGTCATACAACATAGGGAAGAATACAACATGGTTATCATTCTTAACACAAATAATGAGATGCAATGGAGATGTAATGCATGCCAATGTCGCTCTCCATTTTTCACAATTTAATCATCGCTTTCAAACTGTTAATACAGCTCGCCCTTTAGTGACCCCGCAGCAACACGAGAGGAGGATTGGCTAATGTCCCTAACCCTTGGTACCCCCGCGGCGTCCTTATGATTCCCAGCTAGCTCAACCACGCTAGGGCGACTCCCTAATCCCCTCTAGGCTATATTAACCTCCAGCCCTTTGGTACCCCCGCAGCGACCAGGTTTTCCAAAACACTTTCATCAAACATTCTTTCCCAAAACTCCCCATTTTCATTTCAAAAACAAATTTCTTCCCTTCCTGCAGCCCAATGGTATACATGCATGCCTCATGATCTCAATACTATGAAAATGAGGAATTTGACACAACACAAGTGAGCATGTTCTCATACTTCTAATATTTAAACAATAATTGAATTATCACAAAATACAATAGGGCATGCTTTCATACACCATTCGTAGCATGTGAACAATACAATAGGCATAACTCACAATATAAGCATGTATTTCAAATAGTGCAATCAAGACAAGTCTTCACATATTCACATATATACATTCAAGACATTTTTAGGCTACAATTAACACAAATAAGCATGCTATAACACAATTCAAGTAAATTAATTCACAAAGGTGCAAAAATAATGTGAATTAGGAAGCCCCTACCTCAAGATTTCACAAAACCCTTAAATTGGGTCAAGAATTTCGAATTCCCTAGGAAGGCTCAAAGCTGGAATTGAAGGTACTCACGTGTAGAGCTTGTCGTACTTTCTGTTTACCCTCAAACGGCACTTAAAAACTCCAACAATTGAAGAAGTTACCAAGATCCAAAGTTTGCTTCTCAAATGGAAGGAAGAAAGAAATGGAAATGAGAGAGAGAAGACAGTTACAGGAGAGAGGAATGAGAATGCATAATTGTGGTCTCTAGACCACTTTGTGGTTAATGGTGAGTCCCACCAATTTCTTTTCTTTTCCCTTTTTCTTTTCATTTCAATTTGCACTACACATTAAAATACATGCACCACTAAGTAAACACTACATAATCATATAAATTAAAATACACAAAATGCAATTAGATCCAACCACAATCCCGTACGCAAAACGTGAAAAGACGGAAATGCCCTTGTGGCGACAACATTCCATTCCGGAAAAAAAGGAAAAAATAAAAAATAAATAAAAAAAATGCAGAAAATCGGAAATGTTACAAGAGTCTTTTGATTAGCTACGATTAACTGGCTGCGCCAACACCACATTTCATGCCTAAGTATCCCTAGGTTAGAATTTGGCTGGACTGACATGGTCAAACTCAAATAGAAAAAACACTGATTTGAATTTCCCCTTGAATTTGAATAGTCGATTTAAAGTTCATTTAGCATTTTGATGACAAACCAGTCTTCTTGGGTCAGATAAGAAACTGGCAGTAAATGATGTTAAAAGCTGTGTCATACTACTAAAGCCTATAAAAGATTGCATTCTATGAAACATGGTGAAGTCCCTGTTTTCTTTATTGGTCCTGTTTTAAGATATAAATTTTCACTTGAAATGCCATAGAAGATGCAATGCAGCTCATGTTGCAAAAATTAACATAATAATAAAACAAGACATTAAAAAAAATAACAAATTTATGTGGTTCAGCTAAAATCAAGGTTATCACGACACACAAATTACAGAGAGTTTATATATATATATATATATAACCAACCAACCAAGAGCTACATAACAAGTGTGAAAGATAAATACAATATTTATCAAGTTCTACACTTTCCATCACTCTTCTATGATAAACAGAAATCCCAGGCTAATCCCATTATAGTTCTTTAAATGTGTGGAGCTCATATTTTAGAAGCACATAAATGTTTCAAGGACTAAGAAAACTTGAACTACTAAATCAGCCTTTGAGAAGTATACGGTCCAAAGAATTTGGCGATATTAATTTCAAGCATGGTTCTAGCTTCTAAGGAAGAGCTAAATGATTTCCACTTTGCTCTGGACAAATTTCCAATAAATGATACTCTGACACCAAAGAAAAAGCTCTCAGAAATATCCAAAGTTATGTGAAGCAGAACAGAGGGATGATTTCCAAATAAGTTCCCAGGAGATAGAACATCAAGGCAGAAGCCTAAGATGCAAACAAAGACAGACAGCCCACGTACACGAAGTCAATTTAAGCGGAACAGATGGAAAGTTTCTGTTCCATATATATATATATATTCATGTGAACCAAACATAACATTAGTTTAAAAAGCAAGAACAAAATCACACTCAAAGCAAAAGGATTCTGACTTTAACAAAGGGAAATGGCAACCAGAAAGTCATGAAATGGAAGGAAATACTAGTACTCAAACTCTAACAAGCACAACATACTTGCAATACTTTAACCAAAACAAAAAAACAAAAAAAAAAAAATCAAGGTCTAACTTTATTTTCTGAAGTTTATTGTAGTGATCCTTCTCGATTGACAGCTTATGGAAACCCACTGCTACTGCTAGCTCTGCCACCTTACACCTGAATCTCCTCTGCTCCAACTGAGTTTAAACCTTGTGGCGAAAAAAGAAAATGAAAACTGAATTTGAATCCTTACGATGAAGAGAACAAAAAAGAAGGTACCAAAAATGTCAGTAGATATTACCATAGATGACTAAAGGAAACACATCTACAATATTTGATATCTTATAGTTGATACTACTTCCTACTTGGTTAGTTTCATTTCGCAGTAAGATTTTGAACAAGTTACATCATAGGCAGTTCAAAATAAAAAAAACTTTGAAGCTAACATAGGGAGGAAATACCAACACGCCTATGACCTAGCGGTATAAGGCTCCTACTTTCCAAAGGGATGTCAAGGGTTCAACCCTCCGTGAAGGCAGTGTGTGTGAATACCAACTAGAAAAAAATAAATAAATAAATAAATTTCACAGGGAGGAAATAAATTAATTGTTATTACCACATGATGCTAAAGATTGAATGGTTATATGTTCTTGATGTTCTGATTATAATTGAGTAAATCATGCATAGGCCAAGCATTATGCTTGAGAATATTGTTATACAGTAATTAATTTTCATTTCCAATTTGCAATAAGAGAATATCTCAAAAGTTTCGAATAGACAACGAGTAAGGACAAGAAAACGAAGAACACTGTGTATATTCACATGCAAGGAGATAGATATCTGTATGTGTGTGTTGGGGGATGGAGAGAGAGACTGACCATTTTAGAGAGAAATTTATCCTGCAATTTTATCCTTGCGGAACTTTCTTTGCACCCAAGCTACCTTCACAGCAACTGCATTGTTGTAGGTGTTCTCCACAAACTGAAAGTAGGCATACCTCCAAGACTTCTTGAAATGCAAAATGCCACAAACTCCCAAGAAGCCAACCAGAAAACCAGGTCCAATGCTACCATAGAACCACAAAAGTTCAGACTCATCTCCATCTTCAGTCTCACCAACATGTTCATGACCATCAGATAATGTATCAGATGATGTATCACCGGAACAAGGCTTAGAGATTTGTGGTCCACAGAGTTCACTGTTGCCACCATAGATTGATGATGGATCATTGAGCATCTGAAGTTGACTTCCTGTTGGTATTATCCCGGACAAGTTGTTGGATGACAAGTTTAAAAAGCTTAGAAAATTCAAAGCTAACAGGCTTTGAGGGATTGAACCAGAAAGTTTGTTTCTGGACAAATCGAGAGATTCCAAGTTTTTCAAATTGCCAATCCTCTTGGGAATCCTTCCATTTAGATAATTTCCGGATATATTCAAATTCTGCAACCCAACAAGATCCATCAAGCCTCCCGGAATCTCTCCAGTTATGTGATTGTTTGAAAGGTCTATGGATATGACAAATGGGAGTGTTTTGGTGTATTCAAGTTTCCTTCCTTTCATATACAAAGAAATGGAATCTTTGTAATCTATATTATCAGTAGGACTAATATGAAATGAAATATCAAATTCCCCTACCACCTTCCCAATATGTCCACAAAATGAGACAAATTCCTCTTCCACATTCATGGCACTAAAATTGCCAAAACACCTCGGAATATTTCCAGTTATGTCATTATGTGCCAAGTTTAACAGTTGAAGAGCTAAGAGGTGACAAAGTTGTGGAGAAAGATCACCATAAAACTTCTTTGATTGAAGATTGAGAAATTTTAGATTGGATAGGTTTTCCCCTATCCAAGGAGGGAGAATACCAATGAATTCATTTTCACTTAGATCTAGTGTTTCAAGGTATGTCATATTCTGTAGAGAAAAAAATATCTTCCCTTCAAACTTCTTGTTGTTCAAGTGTAACGAGTTGAGGTTTCTTAGAGAACCCAAAGAAGTTGGGATTTCACCATGTAGATTGTTATACATCAGATCAATGACCTCCCGTTGATGCAAGTCCCCAATGCGTGAGGGAAGTTTTCCCAACAACTGATTTTTTGAGAAAATAATTGCTTTCAAAGCCTTTATCTTGCACAAATACACCGGAATGCCTCCATTCAAATTGTTATTCGAGAGAGCAATAATTTCCAATCTCATTGTCGCATTATTTATGATGACAGAAATACGCCCAGAAAGTAAGTTGTTGGAGAGATCTAAAATGACAATCCCAGAAGGAATCGGCATTAATATGCCTTCAAATTTATTGGAATTCAAAAAAAAGAACCTTTGAGAACCGTTAGATTCTTGAAATTTTGGCAGTCTACCGGTGATCTGGTTATGGGATATATCCAGCCAGTTGATATGAGAGTACAGATTCTCAAACCAATCAGGGATGGTATCTGAGATGCTTGTATTAGACATCACTAACTTGTCAACATGTCTCTGCGTTTGAAGCCAGGGAGGAAACTGGGGTCCTAATTTGCAGTTGCCCAAGTCAAGAGTTTGAAGTTGAAATGGAGGAACCCAATGGGGACTGACATCCAAAACCAACTGGTTTGAAGACAAGGACAACTCATTTAACCTAGTGAGGTTGACAAAGTGGAGTTCAGATACCTTACCATCTAATGAAGTTGAAGACAAATCCAACCTTTCTAGTTTTGAGAGTTGTCCAATTGACGTCGGGATTGGACCACAAAACAAGTTGTCAGCAAGAAGAAGGTGCTTTCGATTCCGAAATTCCCCCAAGTTCTCTGGCAGCAAACCACTAAACATATTGCTTTCAAGACGCAGGTACTTTAAACTATTCAGGAGCAAATCAGATTTATTTTCTAGGAAAATCGGAACCTCGCCACTAAATTGGTTATGCGACAAATCAAGGATTAGCAAGCTGCTAAGATTCCTTATGGTTAGTGGTATTTTACCAAATAAAAAATTATCACGGAGATCGAGGACATTAAGCTGTGTCATATTGACCATCTCACTTGGGAGTGAACCATCAAGACTACTAAAAGAGAGGTTAACATATCTCAGGTTATTAAGGGAATCAAAGAGTAGTTCTGAAATTAGGGTTCCTGAAAAGTCATTATTGCTCAAGTCTATGTATTGCAAATGCTTCAATTCGAGTATAGAATGATTTATTTTACCTTCCAAGCAGGCTCTGTAGTAATTCTCTGGATAATCGATGACACCGCCAACACCGTAAAAATATCTAACAAAATCAACAGAAAATGGATTTCGCAGATCAAGCTTCACGACTTTGCCTGTCCTCTTGCTGCAACCCACCCCCTTCCAGGTACACAGTCTTCTCCAACCCACGATGACAAGCGGTTTGAATCATCAATGGGCGATTCTTTCATTTTGATAAGAGCTTTTAGTTCGCTCTCATCGCAGCTTATGTTTGATTCTCGCTTGTATTGCAGCTGAACACCAAGCCCTTCAATGAAAAAAAGGGCAGATAACATCACAAGAACACTTGTAATTGGTTTTCTCATGGCTTCGTTTATGGAAGTGATTGAAAAATGTTGGTGAATGAGTTAGAAGTGCAGATTCGAGCTAGTATTTATAAGCACAAACTTGTGCTAGTTTCTTCAGGCAGAACTACTTTTCCAACTTTTTTTGCTACCAAGGCTTTTCTCAACTTGTGTTGGAAAACCAATGGAAGTTTCATCTCACCAGCCTCACTTTACATCTTTTACAGTTTGTTACAGAAAATCAAAGTACGGAGATTTTTAGTAACCCTAATTGTCTAATGTACTGGTCTCCCGCGGTCTTGAGTGGGAGTTTCGTCTCACTTCACATTTTCACAGTTTCTTACATAAAATCTAAGTACGGAGATTTAGTAAGCCAAATTTTTCAAAAAGATATGTACATGGAAATTGATCATTAGTGAATTTACTGTACCTCATGCAGTTCATTTCTCAGCAAATCTGACACAGCATTAACTGTGCTAAAGACTTTTTAAATCTCTTTTCTAGTGTATTTGTTATAGAAGCACCAAATTTAACTCATGTACAAGAGTCTTACGACAGTAGAGATCCAATCCTCTTAAAAATAGAGATATGGAAGGAGTAATTCAATGCAATATTGATGCACGAGATATGAGAAAGATTCAAGGCATTATTAGTGCACCTACCTAATGAGTTAGCAATTTGGACACACAAGGAAACAATCAATCTTGAATCTTCACCTTGATTTCCTCTTCTAAATATTGCTACCATATCACCTTTCCTTTTGTATAATTTTGACTCGTAATATGTATATAAGTGTATCATCACCATTATTGATCGATATACAAGAAATCCATTTATTTCTAAAAACCATTTTCCTCTCCTTTCTTCTCTCAAAGCTATTCTTCTTTATAGTATCAGAGCAATAGCTGTCGCATAAAAGGGTTATTTTTTCTTTCTTTTCCTCTTCTTCTCCAATGGCTTTATAACCCTACCCATCAATTTTGAATGTTGTTAATTTTGTTTCTCTTAAGTTGACATCTACAAACTATTTGTAATGTTTCTGATTTTTCCCATTTTCCATTTCTGTGATTTTTCTATTTTTTCACGGTTATTTCCGTCGTGTCTCGTTTTGCATGCCGGACACCGTAGAGTGTGTCGGATGTGTTTGAGAGTTGGTTGGGGCATTTCCTTGAGTTCAGAACTCTTGAAAATGTATTGGTTGCCATTTCGCGGCATTTTTTCATTTTTCGGGCCTTGAGGTCCTAGCTTAGACCCGTTACCAGAGTTGTTGAGCACGAGAACTGTGTTTCGGGTTTATTGCATTTCACACATCATTATTTTATGCATATTTACCTAATTGTATGATTATTTGTGTGGTGGTAAAGTGATTACTATATATATTTATATATAATGCTATTAAAAGATGATTTTATTACAATTGTGGGGCCCACTGGTATTTTTTAATTATAATGGCCTTAAGGCCATTGCACAGATTCTCTCAGTCTCTCACATAGAAGCGCTCTCTCACTCTCTCTCTCTCTCTCTCTTCTTAGTTCTTTTTTCTTTTTCTTCACAAATTCAAAGCTAGATCTCTCTTTTTACACCTAGAATGCAATTTTGCCATAGAAGGCAAAGTTGATGAGCTCGTTGAGGACGACGTTTTAATCGAAGCAAATTTTGATTTGGCCATCCTAGGGATTTTCAAATTTGGGGTTCTCTTTGAGGATTTTCTTCATTTCTTGAGGTAGATGTGTTATAATCCATGATCTCTTTGAACTTAGTGAATTTTATCCTCCATAATTGTTATATTATGTGCATGGATTGTGTTAATTTTCTAGGCTCATGATCTCTATGATGTAAACATGATTAAATTATTTGTTAATTGTTATATTGTGAAGATGTATGTCTAAAATGATGACTTTGCATACCTTGTATGTTTGATGTGTTGGAATTATATTGTATGAAAGCATGATGTGTTCTCCTTGTAATTTTTTTAAAGCATGCTATATATATTGTTGTGGTTGATTACAAATTATGGAAAATTATATATATTGTCATGGTTGATTGTGGCATGAGGCATCCATACATTTCATTGGGAATAAAAGGGAAAAAGTTTGTTTTATAAGCAAATGAAATTTGTTTTGGCGAAAAATGTTTTTGACAAGTGTTTGTGAAAACCTGGGTACCTAGGAGTTGTCTAGTGGTCCGTGGCGTTAGTGTGGTCTAGAGGCGACTAGGGAGAAACCCTAGCGTGATTGAGCTACCTAGGCTAGAAACGATGCCTTGGAGTTGCCATGTAGTCGGGGATAACTAGGTAATCCTCCTCTCGTGACGTCTTGGAGTCACCATAGGTCGGATTGCACTAACGGTTTGGAACGGTGAAATGGAATTATTTTGGAAATGGGGAGAGACATTGGCTTGACATTACACTCCATTGGCATACATTGTGTATTTTTTAATTAGACGATCTGTACGTATATTTGTTGTGGTTGTTGTTGTTGTGATATTCCCTATGGCATGATCCCGTATTTCTTTTTGTCCTATGCTCAGTGTGGATTCACAGGGTCATTAAAAGGTGTGTCTTAGACACCTCTTACTGAACGGTTGGCTCATCCCAATTATATTATATATTTTTTTCAAGACACGGAAAGGAAGTGATGGACGACAAGGCACCATAAGTTTAGTCGGGTTGCAAGGGACTTGGATTTTTTTTTAGATCAATGTGTATATTACCTTTTGTTGTAAATTGTGATAAGTGATATTTTGTATCTATTTCATGGTTGGAAATGGTTCTGAGACCATCCTCATGTATCTCGTGGTCGATCTCATTGTGATTTCGATATCCATGTAAGGTCTTAAGCCCATATTTTGATGTATTACGGACTTGTTTAACTTTAGATGTTATAATGGACTCATTTACTGTTTCATTTGAATGTAAAGATACCTAGTAATGTTATTTTCACTGTCAAATGTATGATTTGGGATAGGTTTGAACTTTGAATAAGGTCACCAAGGGACAAAAGGGGTGCCTATGTGCACAAGTTCTCAGTTTTAGGCTTTTTTGGGCATTTTTCAGGGTTCTGGTCATTTGGAACCGGTTCAGCCTATTGAACTGGTTTAAGGGGTGCATTTGGTTCACATTTAGGGCACACTACCTATGTTGAACTGGTTCAGGTCCCCCAATGGTTCATTTTGCCTTGACAGTTTGTCAACTTGGATCACCTAATTTGTGCGGTCATAACGTCTTCGTTCCGAACTCAAATAGGGTCATTCTTGAGTCCATTTTCAACGATTTTGAGTCCGTTTTCCAATGATACCAATCTTATTTTCAAATTTCATTCATGTTGAGAGATATGGTTATTTTATGAGACAGTGTTGGGATCTCCCCTAAACCGAGTAGGGGCACTATTGGACAATTATGACCAATGATCGTAGAACCTCTTCGAATGTCATGAAATGACTAGGATGATTGTTTTAAAACTCCATTTGACTAGTTTAAGGACAGATTATTCTTATATATTATAAAATGACCATTTTACCCCTAATGTGTCATCGGATTTGGATAAGGACTCGGTTAGCGATTCAGACCCCTGGTTCGGGTCGTTACACTATCTGTTATGGGAAACACAAGTACTGTCTTTGATTAAAAGTCAAGACCTACTTGGTTTCATCACCGAAAAAATCTAGCATCCAGATCATGAAATTTTGACAGAAGATGAAAGCAAAAGGGTTTTTAATCCTCTTTTCGCTGCGTGGACAAGAACTGACTGGCTGGTTAAAGCCTAGATCACATCTACACTCATAGAAGAGGTTCTAGGACTGGCTGTTGGTGTTAAAACATCTACAGATGTCTAGAAAGCTTTAGCCAATGCCTACTCCCAAGATTCACATGTCGTGACCCGAGTTTTATTCATCCCGATACGTTAGTGATGAACCGAGGATTAACCTGTTAACGGATCCAGATGCGGAAGCAAAAGATGAAACCATAGTCCTTTGAGATATAAATCATCTCTAAGACACAAATGTGACATTCCATGTGGTCATGGAAGCTAAAGAGAGCAAAAGGGGAAACTAGAATTAAAACGGGCTAAATCCGTCAAACAATGGCAAAATGGTCAATTCACAATTAGAAGGAGAAAATTGACTCTAAATAAGTAAAACAAGGTGAATACAACCTAATCTAATCATTTCCTAACATTCCAAAAGGTTCTAAGAACTTTGGGTAAGAATTCCCACAAAATACACTTTCCCGATTTAAGTGAAAACTAACACTACTTCACTAAAACATACATATCTCTCACTGTGTTTGGAATCTGAGAATGGGATTGAAACCATTGGAAATTTGACTCAAAATCCTTGAGTTTAGGCTCAAGAATCACCCCATTTAGATTACAAACGAAAAAGTTATGACCATTTGAAGTTGGAAGATCAATGCTGAAACAAAATCTGGAGGCTGTGCATATGAAAGCTATTTAGGTCGACCGAAATGGAGTTTCGGTCAACCGAAATGACCAAAAAATGTGCTGAAAACTTGCATCTAAGTGCTGGTTGTTTCGGTAGACCGAAATAAAGGTTCGGTCGACCGAAATAGGCCTTGAACAGTAGAATTGGCTATTAGAATGATGAATTACTGTGCAAAGACAAATCTAATACCGAAATACCTCGAAAAGCTGCTATAAGGCCTGCTATATGCCAAAGGTGTTAAGGTTCAACCCATGCTTTGAATCCTATGATGATTTGGTTTAAAAATGAAAGTTTAAAACTGATTTTCAATGAGATGTTTGAGTATGTGAACATGCCAACAACCTTGAAATGACCAAATGAATGTATTACAACCACTTATGGCCTTATATATGTTAATTATAAGGATCTCATATGTTAAACCTCCAAGGTTGGTTAAAATATGCTTTTAACACAAACTATTGCACCAAATGAATACAAGTGTTAAAGTAAACATGTTTGGCCCTTGGCATCATTACACACACAGCCATATAGTATCAAAAGGTGCACTTAAGTGCACATTACATAGTTTGAATAACAAATACACATTTTGACATAATAACCAAGATGAAGTGCGATATGCTAACAAGTGCATATTCTAACATAGAAAAAATA